CTTTTGTTTTCTTTCTGTGATAAAATAGTTTTTGAAGGAGCAGTATTTTTGGATGCAAACTAGGGGAGTTGCAGATTCCAATGGAAGCACTTCTCTTTCCCATGTACGCTTTTCCACTGCTCTTGTATTTTGTTGTGACCTTGTACAAAATTCCTCACAAGCATATTCCCATGTCTACATCAAGTTATATACCAACCAATTTTTCTTCTGATACCATATAATCAAAGAGGAAATAACATGAGTAAAGGGTGAAAAATTTCAAGGTATGTGCTGCAGTTGCACAGGTAACAGAGTAGTACATGTGGTCATATCTTAATATCTTATACACTAGCCAATTGTTCTTTTCTGTACAATTCTTCTCATTTGAAAGAGAAGTTCCTGACAGGAACCTTGTGTAGCCTTGTATTTTTTCAAACTCGTTTACATCAGACATACTTTTAGGAAGTAGAATCCCTTCAGATGCCACACTCAAAATCTCAACTTTATGGGATACAAATTACTGCCCCCAATCCCAGAGTTCAACAGAACAGCCCTGGATTCTGTTACAACTGGGCAGATCAGAGAAATTAAAGCTACACTCAAAACATTTGCATAGATGAGTTTTCACCTCATTCTCAAACATAAATTGCAACACAGACTGGTCATGGCTCTGCACAGAGAAATATCAGTGTGTATCACAGGTCTGCTTGCTTTAGATTCTTTCTAAGCACTTTTTGTCTGTCTGGACTGTGTGTGTAGTATGAGACGGAGGTAGCTGACATAGCATGACTGCAGGTAAGATCTTGTTGAGATCCAGGGAGTGTGGATGCATCAGCAAGCTGATACAGAGAAATTATTACTTCTTTTAAGATTTATTTACTTATTTACTTATAGAAAACTGTTTAGCAACTTATTTACTTACTTAGAGTGTTTTTTAAATATTGTTAAGAATCCTGCTTGCCCAGACTGTTCTGTGAAATTTTACCAAGGACTACAGTGTTCATCAAAACAAAGCAGTTCACTGTGAAAATCTACCAGGGGCTACAGTGTTCAGCAAAATATTATGCTCTGTCCTTGAGGAACAGGTGGCTGGCTCTAACTAGTTGGAATTTTGCTAATGTGTAAAGATAGTCATAGACGAGTGGTAGAAGTTCTATTGGTTCTCTTAGATAAGATAGAAAAATAAACAGGCTGAAAAACACTTTTGTTATTGAAGAAATTGGCCAAGAGAAATCTGCGCATGCTCCGTGGAAAAAAACAGGGTGAGAAAGACTACGAGCCTTCCTCCCCAAAACCCACGAAGACGACCACCAGGAGACAATGTGCAGGTGCAAAGGGAATATCAACCGCTGACACTATTCTTTCTAACTAACCCAGCCTTACTCATATATATGTATGTTTGTGTTATGTAACCCAGTGAATATGGATATCCACACTCATAAATTTTGGTAAAATGTGCGATGGGTGTGCAAGCTTTGTGGAGAAATCCCCTTGCACCCCGGCCGGAGTAAACATACCCGCTGTATAACTCTATTTGAGTTGTAGAGTCTTTTTTTCCATGAATCAAAGCTTAGGGCTAATTCTAAGTTTTACAGGTTTATGCATTGCACGCCACCATACAAAACAGAAATACCCTTTGATGTTAATTGCAGAAGCAATTAAGCTAAAATAATGAATTTGGGGAAAAAAAAAAATCAAGCCTGAAACTAAGAAAGATTTTGATAGCTTGGAGTGGGATTTCCATCTGATAATATCAAAAATTAATTTGTTCCCCTTTTAAAGCAAATTAATCTTTGTTCATACCGCTGACCTGATAAGGTTACTAAAATCATATATGAAGTATCAACTGCAATGAAATGGTAACTTTATGCAGGATCAGCTTTTTTTTAAATTTGAAATAAAATGTCTGGATGTGTAAGAATTTTTTTTTTTAATGACCAGGGTACCTCAAACATCACTAAGTGGTTCTGCTGCATAAAGGGATGGACTTAACTTAAAAAGTTATCACTCACAAAGGTGAATTAAAATGATCCCTGGTTTTCCCTGCAGCAGGAAGAGTTTCATAGACCTTCAGTTTGGCCCGGTATGGCTGCTCCAAGATTCTCACAATCAACCCTTCCCCTGCTAGTTTTTTGAATGTTTTAATTAATTTTCAGATATCTCAGAATATTTTTTACTTGTTGAGTACTATATAAACAGCATTAGCAAAGAGCTGTGATTTGGGACAAATGGCCTGATTTGATGGTCACTGAAGCTGGTGGAAAAGCTAAAGGCTGTGAGCTTTCCAAGAGGTTCAAAGAGAGTTACAGAAGCATCAAATAACTCTTGATTGCATTCGGTCAATAAGTACTCTACTCCCTCCACCATGGCCACTCAATTCACTCGAGGAGGCAAAATACCCTTTCTGAAAATTGTTTGTTTAGCATAATAGTGCACTACAGTCAGTTTCAGTGGGTTGCTGCGATGGTGGAATTATGGCATAATATGTGCTAAAAGCTGATCTGCACACCCACAAAGGAGCACAGAGAGACAACAGCAGAAGGAAACCCACTCAGATAAGTCAACACCAGAGCAGCTTTGGGACTGAAAAGTGTTGCTGCCTGGGGACATGGGACACATTATGGCCAGGTGTGTCTCTAAGGGTGATGCCATGGGAGTGGGCTGCTGAGGACCAGGGGCATGCTGGCCAGCAATGTGTGTGTGTGTGTGTGTGTGTGTGTGTGTGTGTGATGGTCTGTACCATCAAGTAAAGTGGGGCTGATGCCTCGGGGTCATATCTCCAGTGCCAGCCGCTGGGGAGGCTGAGATCCATGGGCACCTACTGGGCAGACTAGAGTGTCTGAGCCCAGCTGCTGGAGGGGCCCAGCATGTACAGATGTGTATGTATCTGTATATTCCCACTAGTGTACCTCTGTCCTGGTCAGCCAGAGAAGTGAGAAGGATACCGTCCGTGTGAGTGCTCCGTGTCTCTGCCGGTTGTGTATGTATTTATATATATGGTGTATACCTGTGCTCTGAGTGCCTACCAGCTATACGTGCTCAGGCTCCATGCTGGTGGAACCTCAGGTATGGAGCTGCACCAGCCTCACCTCTCTTGGACTGTCAGACCCAGCACAATATGGTTTCCACTGGCAATATGCTCTCTCCTTTATTTGTAGCGTTGTTGAAAGTGGAGTAAGCCTGGGAGAAGAGTAGAAAGATACATGGTATTTTAATTTCTCATTTCCTTCCTTTTGTGGGTTGAACTTGTAATGTGTGCAACAGGCATAAAACTACTGCACAGCAAGCTGGTTGGTGTATTCATTTCCTTGAATTTGAAAGTCTGACAGTTGAGATAGGGTTTGGGGCAGGGTGAGTACTTAGAGGAGCAACAGGAAGGGCAACAACAAAAAGCTGTATATAAATCTTTGCGTGAGTGTTTGTGTGTACAAACTATAAGCTAGCACCTACTTATAAAATATTCACTAATGCACAAAGTTTATGCATCAAAAGCTTGTGGAACAGTGAGTTTCAGATATGAATGTTAGTGATTAAAACAGAAAACACCTCTAAGTCTAAATATGATATAGACACAATATATTTTAACTACACAGACAAACATGAAACAGCAATGTCCTCAAAAAAAAGCAGTCCAAGTTCAGAATTAACTGCTTCCTGTTGAGAAGAATATGAAAAGAAACCCAAAATATTCCCAAGAAGTAAATTAATGTGTGTATAGAAATTCTTCAGTAGCTGACCTAGTTTTAAAGACCATTGGGAATTTACGTCTGTTGCCTGTAGAGAGCCAGGGTGGCCAGGGAAATCCTTCTGTGATAAAGTCCATGCATCCATGAAAATAACGTTGGACTAAATTCCCTCATTGGCATAATTGCATAAATGAAGGGATGTGAAGAATGAACACGGCCCTGTGTTTTCATGTTTGAGCAAAAGGACCTTAAAATGTTCCGTTTAGTTTACCTCCCAAACAAAAGCTCTTTTGTAACATCCTAATTGTCTAATTCCTATTTTTGTTTCCTTTTCAGTAAGGTGAGAATTTCACATTCTTTTGTTGTCAGTGGAAGTATTTTTCCTACTCCATGGAAAAATTCATTAAATCAAATCAATCATATTTTACTAGATTTGTACTTTCTTTTTGTCAGTGATATATACAGACATCAGGAGAGATACCTACTAGCATATTTTATCTATTTGTCTGAAGATGAAGTTTTGCTCCTTAAGGTTGTATAATTCTTCAGTGTCAAGCAGCTGATTTATAGTGCTTTTGTGTATAATAGTTCTACAATCAAATAATCTTGATTGCCAGGACATCTTGTTCAGGCTCCATTTGTCTTACATGGATTTGACTTTATTTTTGTATACTTTAAGGTATGATGAATTGATATCTTGCATAGTATAAAACATATAGAGTGGAACAATGAATAAGTTTACAAATGGCTTTGTTCCTTTCTCCTTTCAAGGGGATTTATCTTAACATTGCATGATATATATCTTCAGTAATGTTTTTGACCATGAAACTTAAAACAACTCTGAACTCTCACCAAATGCATCTTCTGTATAACAGTGCTTTTGCAAAATGCCTTGTTACTATACACATTGTTTTTTAGTAGCTGGATCATTTTCCTACATGAAAGCCCATCAAGCTTACAAGTATTTCAGTAAACAGAGTGATCTGGACATACCATGTTAAAGTTTTCTGACTGAAGCAGGAAAGTAAAGCTGAAACAAAAACCTGTGTCACTTGTTTTTATGAGGAAAGGTTCTGCCCTTGTTCCCCCTATCATCACTGGAGCAAAATGATATTTATAGTGTATCTTCTCTTTTGCAACAGCCTGCAAGAGTGTTCACTGGGCTAATCTTAATCTTCAGTTTGCTCTTCAAAATGAATGCTTGTGATGTGAGGCTACTTTACAGGAAGCATGACCTCATTCTGCCTCTGTGCCGCTGATTGCACAGGCTGTTTTCAAAAGGAAACAGAGGACTTCATAGACCTGCCTTTCCGAAGACCCGGGACTAATCTCTTCCAGGAAGCTGCAGAAGGAGCACCCTCCACTTATCATCTCTGAGGCTCTCGTGTTGATGATTGGAAACTTTTTTGCACACATGTGTTAATAGTGAAATGGATTTTCCAGGTTTGGAAGATTTTACACATCTTTATCTATTCATCTATCTGTCAGCTGAGGAATAACTAACCTTTGAATTCATTTCTGTATTACTCTTCAGGAAGTTTTGTATTTTTGTGAAAGTTGTTATCATTACCTGCAGGGAGAAAAGACTAGACTGTGCTTCACAAATGACTGATATGTGTGAACAAATAAAACTACCTTTGTAGACACTTAATTTGGTAGGTACAATAGAATAAAACCGGTTGACTGGGCTTTAGCTATTTTTAATAGTTAGCACTATATTTTAGTACATATTAATGTTTAGAATATAAACATGGACAGGGGAATGCTGGCTACCGACTGATGGCATCATTGGTTTAAAGATTAATTTCATTTTTGAGGGAAAGGTAATTAATACTAACTGTTTTGGACAATGACTTTTTGTTTCTGTTGCAACATAGGCTTTTGGGTGTTTTGAAATTCAAGTGGGGTTGTTGCCTTAAACTTTAATTCTTGACATAAAATATTGCTTCATTCACCTCAGATTCACTTTTAATGAGATTTCTTAAAGCTGTTGGTATTTTCTCATATCATAGTTTAAAGGTTCCATATTGATCCTCATTTTGTGGATGATAGATGTCATACTACTGATTCACTGTACAGTGGTGGTTGAGATGCTTTGTTTTGGCTTGCTTATATTGTTACTATAGCTTCTCATTCTATTAATAGCCAAGAAATGGGACTGAATATTAAGTGAAAGCAGAACACTGTGCAGTATTGTCAACAACATGATGTTTCCATGCTTTCTCCAGCATTGATTGAATTATGATTTTCAGGAACCCTCTTCATTAATGCATGAGACAAAAATTTTCATGATCAAGGGTAGCAAAAAAATCCATTAGACTGCCTGTTCTATGACTGTTTACAGAAGCTTGGTGTTATTACTTAAAATAGTTTGAAAGAAAACTACAACTGTTTATTAATGGTTCTTCAAAAGGGAAAAAGTCATCTCCTCCCCAGTAATGTATTTGTATATGTATAGATCTCTTTCTTTTATAAATGTATGTATATACTCTATTTTACCTTAAATTTTACTTCTGCAGAGGGTGGCAGATAAACAAGTGTCCTGCAGAGACATATCTTGCAAATTTATAAGACAATTCAAATTAGTAAAGGAAGGACTGTGGTTTGTTCTGCAACTTTGATCAGTGTGTGTCCACACTTCTTAGCAAAAGAACTACCCATATGTAAGAAGCTATTCTTAAAAGTTATTGGGTTTACTGGTTGCTACTTTATATTATCGTAACTGAGAAAATCACTTGCAATACAACTGTATTATGGGTTTCGGTAGTATAATTGATGCTGAGGTATACTTCTGCATCCATTTTCAAACAAATTTGCTCTAGAATCAATCACTTTTGCCTAAACAAGAATATGTTTATATATATATATATATATATATTGATGATACTATTTTACACATCCTAATTTTCAAACAAGACAAAATAAAATATAGTCCTGTTTCTTTTTAAACCCTTTTAAAGTTAATCTATATTAGCTGTTATCCCAGGGTGTCTGAAACAGTCCTTTTCAAGATGTATGAAATGTCACATGTAAATTTGTGCACATTCACCAGAGATTTTGATTAAAAAATTCTGTTGTGGAGGGGATTTTGTTTGACTGATAAGATTTGGGATTTTGCAGGTTTTAGTTTATATCCAGACCTACAAACCACCTGTCAAGTTCTTCCTGTATTTTCTTTTAGAGTTTGGATTAATTTCTTGGGTTTGAGTATAATATTTTTGCACGATTAAAAATCATGATTTTGCCTTAAATAAGATAAATAATTTCGGTAGCTAAATGTATATGAAAAAAAAATAGGTCTACAACATGTCAGGCTATGAAATACACCACTGCTCTCACGTTTGGTACAACTTGCTGCGTGACATTCTGACTTTTGCTACTTGATCATATCTCCACTGAGTTTCTTCCAATTGTCTCCTCAGTTGTTTTTGCAAGGGTTAGAGCATAATTTTCTCCTGGTATAGTGATTTTTTTTTTTTTCAAAGTGTAGGAGGAACAGTACGTATGGGAGTAGGGTAATAGGATTGATTTGTAAAAATTATCTTGGAAGGTTTTACTTCCCTTCTTTGGTGACCCTGCCTGGTCCCAATGCTCAGTCAGCCTTCACATCCAGGCTGTGACTGACAACTGAACTCCAAATCAGGATAAACAAGATTACCAGAATAGAAACACTGACCTTCATATGTCTTTTCTTTGCCTATTCTCATAACTGAACATTAAAAAATAATTCTCTTAGACCTATCTCCTCTCATAGGTGAATGATGGGCATTTACTAACTGTTATGAGCATGATGCTCTAAAGACACAGGAGAGGCAGGGTAATATAGGGAGAGATCATATATTTTATCTTTCCGTGTAATAACAGATATAAATTATCCCTATGGATAGCCATTGCTCATATTTTGTAAGATTGGTTCTGTCAGATGCTGAACATCTGGCAGCACTTTGCAGACTTGAGCCATGGTAATCCAGACAAATCCTATTTCCTTAGTCTTCTGCCACAATATTGTCAAATCTTTGACACTTTCACTGTCCCTGTGCCTGTTGTGCTACGTCCACAATTTTCATCTGAAAAATATATGGTAATGCTAATGGTGGCACTCCTATTCTACTCTGTATCTATTGTCAGTACATGTACTATCTTTGTCGTGAAGCAGAATTCTGGGAAAACACCATTAAAATTACTGCAGATATTGCATTTGTGTCCATAATTATTTCTCTCAAGGTTGTAAGCTGTGCAGGGTACAAATATCTGATTATGATTGGCTTTGATTTTGTGTTTTCCTGGTTGAAATAACTTTGCTATAAACACTAGGTATTTCCCCCATTCTTTCATTTGTTTTATCTCCTTTAATCTCTCCCTAATTTAATTTTCTTTTTTAGCTTCTTTTGTGATATTTTTGATATGCACAAGGCACCTGTCAGTGAAAACCTGTCAACTGAGCAGTCAGTGGATATGATAACAACTCCTTGTTTGGCCTTTGCCTCTGCAGGTTCAACAGCATTTAATGGAGAACACAGACACAGCCTCTCACAATGTATTTTTCCAAGGTATTGAGGAAAATTCTATTTGTTTAATTTTATTTTTATTTTGTTGAAGATTTTGTAAAATCCCTTTGAGGCCAGTTAGAATTGATACTAATTTAATTACTGTTTTAAATGGAAGTTCAGAAATACTGCTGTAGAGATTGGAAGCACTGACATTGCCATTACAAGGTTTTGGAGTATCTGTTCCACCTGCTTCTCCCTCCACTGAAATTATTGTATCCCTCTGTGACATGCCATATGTGATAGTTAAACCTGCTTCTGAAACCACATCAGCCTCTGAATCAATCCATTTTCTTATTTCGTTCCATGGATGTCACTTAATGGCCACTTGGATCTCAAAAGGATTGAGGAGAAAGGGCTAAACATGAATCCAATTTTACTTGAGCTAAGTAAAATGTCTACAGCATTTAGATTCTTTCACCTCTGTCACTACTCACTTCTATTTTAAATACCACGTAGTGTATTTTTCTGTGCTATATTTAATCTCAAAATCAATTGCATTTCAGTGCTGGGTGGAGTTGTCACTATGCGTAGACTTTAACCTATGTTGTTCTAGCTGCATGGTATTCTAGGATTTGTAAGAATTAGAAGTCATGTATCCTTAAATATCATAATAGAATCATAGGATCATAGAATAACAGATTGGAAGGGATCTCACAAATCATGTGGTCCAACCTGTCTTGTCAAAATCACTGTCCAGACAAGATGGCCCAGCACCCTGTCCAGATGAATCTTAAAAGTGTCCAGTGTTGGGGAATTGACCATTTCCCTGGGGAGATTATTCCAGTGGCTGATTGTTCTTATTGTAAAAAATTTTCCTCCTGTGTCCAATCGGAATCTCCCCAAGAGTAACTTGTAGCCATTACCCCTTGTCTTTTCCATGTGACTCCCTGTAAAAAGGGAGTCTCCATCTTCTTTGTAGCCACCCTTTAAATACTGGAATCTGCATTAAGTATGGCTGGGTTATAAAAAGCAAATAAATCTTGCCTAGTTCAGAGGCGCTCACGCTGGCACCATTTAGAGTAACTCAGAGAAGCAAAACAATGGAATACCTCTGACAGATCCAGGTAGGTGTAGATGTGGCAGGAATCCTTTGCCAAGAGAACTGCCACAGAAAGACACCATGCACTTCTCAATTCAAGCTGGCTCCATGCATTCATGAAATGCTCCACCTGGAATGAAGCTCCCCTGTAATCTGACGCTCTGGAAAGTGTGATGCAGGCACACTCTAGCTGGCTGAAACCCCCTAGGTCCAGAAGTAATATCATTATATCCACATATTTTAGCTCTATATCATTACTAGCTCCCATCAGCTGGTAATGTAAAGTCACTATTATTAAATCATGGGTTTGCTCTGTCTAGACATTCACTGACTTAAAGGGTTTCATTTCTCCTTTTCAGTTACGCTTGTGCCTTTTTGGATGATGACCCTGCCTATGAGTGTTGTTCCACAAGTCCTCTGACAGGCTCCCTTTCCCCATGTCGCCACAGCCCTCGACTGCTTTCTAATGGTTATTACGTTTTGACAGAAGACAGTTTTCTGACTGATGAAGAGGGCAACATCACACTGACACCATCTCAGACAACTGTTAGATATAAAGAGAATTTGGTTCGGTAAGTGAACTATAGGCAGATTTTACTCAATGTTGGCAATTGCCTCCACATCTCTGGATTTACCTGGAGGTATCTGTGTGGCGGTCTACATTTTGCTTGGCATAAGATCAGCATTGCTTCCTAATGAGAACATCTCAATTGATTTAGTTTAGAGAGTGCAGTGATTGAAATAGCTTGATTTTCAGTCATGTCTAATCTTGCTACTCAAAAGCTCTTCAATACACAGTTGTTGCTATAATTGCAGTTGTGTCCAATAAAGAAAAAGGAGACCCAATGGGGTGTTACCATGATACCAAATAAGAAAAAATTGTGTGTATATATATATACATATATGTATATATAAAACTCATATATATATATATATATATATATATATATATATAAATAAAAAATATATGGTCCTGGAATTCTTACTCAGGAAAAAATCTCTCTTGATTTCAGGGGAACAGCTGTTTAAGAAGGTATATAATATGTAGTTTAAAAAAGTTGAAATACAGTGGATTCAAGCTGCACCAAATGGGGTATGGTAGGGTGATACTCATGGGTAGCATGAGACCACTCAGAGCAGTATCAGAGCCCAATAACTGTTGTATCATCTGGTAGCACAATATCTAGTATCACAACAGCATGAGATACTGCCATGCTGCTAATACATTCCCTGACATTATTGCAGGGTGAAGCACTCATTCCTGGTGACATACCCAGGGTCAAGAACAGAGCTAGAACAGCACCCAAAACCTGGTTCTTTCATGTCAGTCTTGCAAGCTTTAGAACTATGTCCCAGCTCAACAAGAATAATCAAGTCTATTCCTTGACAACGTGTCTGTTTTTTCTAGCGTATTCAGGCGAAGGAAGAAAATCCGTCGCTCTCTGGCCAGCTTGTTGAACCTCAGCACCTCCAGTTCATGGCCCAGCAGCAATATGGATTCCTCCCATGTAGATGATCCTTGGCCTGATGGATGCGATAAACTAGAAGCCAGTCAGAGTGATACTGGTAAGCCCTGACAGGTACCAAGTAATCAAGCTACAGCAGTACAGTCTATATTTAGAGGGACTTGGGTATCTCTTTCTATAGGTTTTGCAGGAGTTGTCTGACGAGATGTGCAGGTAGAAGGTTTGCAGGTTACAGAATTGTAAGTGGTGAATTGAGCTCTTGGCATTAAAACAAGAGTATGAGTCCACAAAAACATTTGTGCCAAAACCGCATTTTTAGACTGATTTTGAATCTGAAGTCATGACCAGTGATATTCATACTGGTGTCATTAATATCTGGCATTGTCTCCCTTCACTTGGGTGTTTTAATAACTTCATTGTGTTATGCTCTATGCAGTTTTGTCTTTACTCTGCATATTTTCTCCTGCATACATTGAACCTGCCAATTCCCTAACCTTAGCAATTTGGAAACCTCCCTGTGACTAAGTAATTAACATCCCTCCCCCCAAAAAAAAATTGATCAATGCAAAGTCTCAAAGCTCTTCTTTTGTGCAATCTCAGTTACGCATACATTTTTTGTAGGTGATTCTGACTTTTTTTCTGAATATAATAGTCATGTGCCACAAAGGCAAACTCCAGTATCTAATGGAGCCCCTCTCACCAAAGATGACGAGTTTCTTCTGCCTGAGAAACCATTCTGTGCTTCAAAATCCTGCTCTCCATTTATGATAAATGCAAATGGAGAGACTTTGAGCCATGCAGGTATGTTACATTGTATGTTACATTGTTATTCTGATATGCCTCATTTTTAGAGTCTTGAAATTGGTATTTACTTGCTTACTCCTCCCTGGTTCCATCTTTTCCTCTCCTATTTTCAGTGATAAATGGAAAAAGAAAAAAGTGAAGAGGAAATGGAGGAAAGGGCAGGGGAACAAAAACTGAAACAGGCAATTATTCAGAAAGGCTTGTTTTCTGAGAGCATGGCAGGCACAGTGTCTCTATGGCTGGGGGGGAGAAAGGCTCCTAGAGACAACCAGGGCATAAAAATTAGGTTTACGCTTTGAATCATTCTAGGCAAATTCTCTTAAAAAAAAAAACTGAAGAGACTGGCCTCACAGGCTGAAGGTAGTCTTTGCAAACACCTCCTGTCATATATTTACTTTCCTGAAAACTCATTAAAATTATTTTCCTTATTTTTGTTTTAGAATCCAGGAGAGTGCAAAATGTCCTTTCTCAGATGGTTGCACTGATCACATGTTTAATCATTTCAATATGCATAAGGTAATTTTTTTATTTGTTGTTTCTGATATTAATACTCCATTTCAGTTGGTGAATAAAACATAAATTAAGGGTCACATTTTCACAGTTAGATATAACTTTTAATATTTTTTCATATGATAGTTGATGTAAGCAGATATCCAAGATATACAGATATGCACAAAAATAGGAAATATATATGCAGATATGAAAAGTACTTCGTCAGGTGTGCTTGGACAGGGGTTTTGAAGGGCTGAGTAAAATCAGAATGGATCCATATCTTTCTAAGTGACCAATATGGGTGTTTCACTCAGTCTGGAAATGCTGAGGTCTTTCTTTATAGGAGATTATCCTCAGTAGATTAAGTAATTAATTTTCAAATTAAATTTCAAATTGCAGTTCACGTATCAGAGTTCAGAGGGTTCATCTGCAAGAACCTACTCTCCTCCTCCCATCCAGGCTACATGTCTATTAATATGCATCCTTTTTTTTTTTTTTTTTTTTTTAAAACGTTTATGGGTATTGTTATGTTCTCAGATACTTTCTGGGAGGATTGTCTGCCACGTTGTTGCTGATAATTTTAGTTTGTAAGTACAGACTTTCTTTATATTCAACACACAATATTTTACTAAGTCACATCTGAGGATTAAATACATCCTTGGATGTACATCCATGGCTCTTACTGATGATAACAAGAGCAATATGGGGACAGAATGTAACTTTCAGTCAGTTACAGGACATTGCATTTAAATTTCACAGGTCTTTTGTCCCAAGATGCTGCTGTGTCATCTTCCTTCAGTCTTGACACATCTTTCAAAACAGCTAAGTTTTGGTAAGTGACTCTAGCATCATGTAATGAATAGAGGAATTTAGAAATTTTATATTAAGAAGAGGTAGGAGAGATTCCTTCTGTTGTTTTCCTGTCAAAGGATGGAAGACATGATCTGAAGTTACTGATGGAGGATTTGGCTTTTCCTGTTACTGATTTTTATTCATAGAAACTGTTTATTTTGAAAACCTTCCTTTTCATAATGTGCAATATATGTTGTAACACATACTTGTTAGCTTAAAAGGAAGATAAACCTAATATGCCATAACATGAAGATGCAGATACAGAGCAAGGTTAGTAACTTATGAATCCAGAGGTGTGCTTTCAAGCCTTGCACTGAAGTCCAACCCCAGGTCAAAAAAGCCTTTATTTTTGTCTGAAAAAAATGAAAACAGCTAACTATGCTGCTAGCCACATTACCACCTTCCAGGGACTACAGAATTGATATGATTTGGCCCCATTACGTTCAGGACAGAGCTTTGCCTTTGGCTTATAATGTGGTCTGATAAATGTCTTAGTAAGAAGTATTAAATCAGTCTGAGGAACTGATTTAAGGTGCTGATGTTGCTGTTTCTGACTGCTTTATTTCAAAGTTTTCCACAGAGATGTAGCTTCTAAATCCTTCTGGAGAAGAAGACTTAGATATATAGAAGGTCTGAATTATATCTTTAGAGCAAGCTCATACATAGGCCTCCATGCTGAAGGCATGTACGTATATGCTGGATTTGTGAATTATTCTTTCACTTTTTACAAAGCAAAATATTATTTTAAGCCTATACAATCTAAAATCTGCTAAGAATAAAAACATTTGGGTTTATCTGAATTTTTATGTGGTGAAAGTGAAGCTCAAAAGGATACTGTTTGATTCTGAAACTGTGTCAGGGTTCAGGAGTTCAGTGTATTCCAAGGGCACCAAGACAGTCTGGCAGACCTCTTAGCCTTTGAATTGCATATATTGGAAGTTAGAAACAACAAGGCACAACTTGGAGAGCCACACTGCAATGATAACCTGAGATTTTGAGCATCCAAGGGCTTTAGCACAACACCATTGATGCACAAGGATGACATGTTACAGTTTGTTATTAAGTCATTATTCCCTAAAAAGACAACACCACTAGGTTAGGACTAGCGTGTTTCAAGTGCATGCTCCAAAACAGGGCTTTCTGACTTCCTGAATAGTTTAGTCCTGAGTCATAAATAAAGCTGTTCTTCACAAGAGGAAAACAAATACACTCTAAGAGCTCTTTAGTCACTGGCATTCAGAGAATACCTCTTTTATGCTCCTCACAAGTGAGAAGTTACCTGCTCAAACAGGTAATCCTACATCTTAACTAAATTTGGCAAATCACAACCTGCATATATAGTCACTATAACAAACTGTAGTTTAATTCAAGACATACAAAAATGTATGCTTTATTTTTCTTCCCCCAGGAAATAATCAGAAAGAAGAGTAACCGGTGAGTATATGTTTAAATTTACGAAGAATTCCTCTACATTTGGGGTGACCCATGTTAGAAAACAGGTTCAAGCATGCCAGAAAGATTCCCTGGACTTTTCATTAAAAGGTTTAACTGCAGGACCCTTTCCAGTCCACTGCAAATTGCTCCACTTTGCTCTATAAAACTCTTCTTTGAATTTATTTGGTTGAAATATTTTTTATTGTTTGACAACAGTTGCTAAAGAGTGTAAGCTGTTAAACAACTGCTGTGCTTCAGCACAGAGAAAACATGTTTTTCAGTAATGGGCAAAGCAAGTCCTCCTTTTTCCAAGTTTAAACTGAATGGTAGTGCCAGGTGCGGTACTGCCCTAACTTGGTATCACTCTACTGAGAAGGAGTGTAGCAGGATCAACATGTATTAGTCCAGAATATCTGGAAGACATTTACAGATTCTTTTCTTCCTTATTCTTTTTTCAGTCAAGCCTCATCCTCAGTCTCCAGTTTCTGTTTACCAAGCATTTCTAAGTTACGGTGCAGCTCAGGACCTTTAAAACAAGAGCACTGATTTATTTGTACTTGGAGCTGGCCACCCCAGTCCTGACTCTGTTATTTCCTTTATCTCTTTACTTTGAAAAGATAAAAATGAAAAGAAGGAACTAAGTGGAGCTATTCCAGGGTTTGCATTCCTTACAGTGTGGATAAAACAGCCTTGTTCATCAGATTGCTGGATGAGTGCAGTTCAGCTTCTGAAATCTAAAGGCATCTGTACAGCTGCAGACACAACTTGGGAAACCTTTGTCAGTCCTCAGAAAGAGGATGTTCAAACTGAGCATTTTAGAATAATATTCTGGCATTTGATCACTTTGCAGACTTACTAAAGCCTATGATGAAAAATACATCCTATTGATCCAGTGGGCCAAGCAGTGGACGCTAGATATGGCACTTCTTAAAGCCTGTTTATGTAAGGGCTGCACACCAGAACTTTCAAGTTGTCTGATTTAGAAAGCCAGTATCATTATTAATCAAAGCAGGTACTACAGGATGGAGAATGTAACTAAATACAGACTGGCACAGGATACTGAGAGACAGGACCTCCAGCATTTCAAAACAAGCTTGTCTCTTGCCTTTTGTAGAAACTCCAAAGCAGATAGTTACCTCTATATTTCAAAATCAGTTCACTAACAGTTTTCATTTTTCTTTCTCCTCAAATTTGTTTTCCTTAGCATCAAACTACTTGATACCTCCTTATTGTTACACATGCTCCTGTGGAAAAAAAATAACAGAATTGCTAGTATTCTTCCTTCAAAATGTAATTCTTTATATTTATTTTGGTCAAACTGAGAGTGAGGCAATACTTGTTGGTGACTATCTGAAAGCAGTCATCTGAAACAATTGCTGTACCTCTAGTCTCTTATGTCAGTTAAATGCTATGTAGGCATGGGGTCCCACAAACATTTTGATAATAAATTGATGGTTAAAAGTGTTTTGTAATCCACATGAAAACATTTTTTTTAATTAAAAAATTATGTCTTCCCATACTTTATATATCAATTTTTTGTAACAACATGCTTTCAGAGATAATGGATTTGCATAGTGGTTCCCACATATTTCAGAAGCTTTATTGTCTCCTGTGTGTGCATTATGAAAAAAGAAGAAAGGAAGAAATAAATATTATTGGAAGGAAAGCACTCCTCAGAAAACCAGGAATCAGGATGTGGAGAAGCAGTGATGAATTTGAATTACCTGGATTCCCTTACAAAAATACGAGACCTGCAGGTTATTTACTTTGGAAACACTGAGCCCTATTTTTCAGCTTGGATCTTTGCTACAACAGAGACTAAATTACACATACAATCTGTGGGTAACCAAAACCTGTTATCTTGTGACTCCAGGCTTTTAATAATCTGCTTCTTAAAATATCTCCCTCTATGCCACTTTATCTAGGACAACATGGATTTCATCTTCCCGTGCAACAAAACAATGATAATGTGTGAGGACTCTATTGCCCATTAAATCAATCCATAACTAGTGCTGCTTCTAGTCTGCTTGTCTCCTGTTGTGCTAAAAGCAGAGCTAGCACAGACCCCGCTGGTAAAGCAGACATGAAATGCTGCCTGCGGAAGGGCTGGGTCTGCCCATGGGGTACAATCAGGCTGGCAGGCAGAATACCAGGGGTTTGAAAACTCTGCAGCAAAAGTGCACAAACAAAAGGTTCTGGTGGAAGAAAGAATCGACAAAACTGAAACACCACTGTCTGTCCAAATCTATGTCCAAACCAAACTCAAGCAAGTTATAGATGTATTTCTAGCATCAAAATTCTGAACAAGTGATGCAATGAGGAATAGAGTACTTGCAGTTAAGTTCAAATGTACATTTCTTTTTCAAAGTGTAAATATATGATGGTTATATTTTGAAGATAAACATAAACAGCTCAGCATTAAGAGCTCAGAGAGGGAAATTTCACCCAAAGTACCAATTTTGCATAGTAATTTAATTTTGACCAGTCCATTAAATGGACTTTATATGAATGCAGACCATCTGATCTTACAAGACCAGGTTTTATAGTTTCAGTAAATGGCAAAAATAGGATGCTCTTCTTCATAAAACTGATGTATTATGTAACTATAATAGTAGTTCTAATACTTATCCTCATATTTGCTTGTAGTTAATACATCTGAATAATTTTGTTTGTATTAAATAATTCTGCTTCTTTATTTTAACTATGGAGACAACTGAGAGTGAACATAATTGTGTAATATCTACAAATATTTTGTTACCTATTTTATTGCTACTTGTAATAGGTCCATTACTAAATGCATTCTTTAAACTAAAGGATTATAAAGAAAGCTCTTTAGGGTTTAAATAACCTCCTGGAATAATAATCTGGAAAATGAAATCCTATACTGAGAGAAAAGTCTAAGATTGCAATTACCCTGCAGTCATTGCAGTGATTATGCTGAAAAACTAGAAAAGCCTGAGTTCACTGTAAACTGGTGAAGAAAAAGCTGATTCAGCTTGCCAGGAATTTGTTCTAAAATGAATTTCTATAATCTGTCTTTGAATAAATATAAACTGGAAATTGGAATTGGTGTGATCTGGAGAGAAGGAAGTTCTGGGACAATTTGGCAGTTGGAGTTTGAGGGCTGAAAATAAGATGCTTGGAATCTGTTAAAATCTGCCCTCCATGATATTCATTAATGTTGAATTGACAAAGTTCTATTCAATTACCAGACTGGTGAGCTTTGGTAGTTGCCTTCCATATATTCCAATGGACATAAAAGGAAACCTTGTATTGTTTCTTTGAAAAGAGGCACAGTAATATGTTATGTTCAATCCCATTGGATGAAAAATTTAAGCCAGAAAATGTCTGACAAAAAAACTGAATACATTTTCTAACCTAAGTATTTAAATTCCGACTTTCAGAGGTAATTAGTATTTGCAGCTTCTGTTAGCTGGAGAATCAAGCCTAGAATAATTGTGAAATGTAATTGTAGCAAAGTAAAACCACTTGTTGATTAATGATTAACTAGCACATCTACAAACAGAGAAAACATCTAGAATTTTATGTTTCTGTCCCCAGTGATTACAGTTACTCCACTTTAATATATTTAGAAAAAGAGAATGAAAGAAGAATTTCATTATATAGATTTATAACCCTTGTACATTATCTCATTCTGTTTGTTGCTATTTTTTTTTTTACCATTACAACTTGTCGTATACTCTTAGTTCTTGCTGTCTTCAGCTGAATTTCAGGGTCATTCTTGAGTATATATCATGTAGTGCTTTATAGCAGGAATGTTCATGTTGAAAGGAACAGGAGCAAGCACAATAATAATATTTATGGCATCCCTTAGTTTACAGTGTTCCTAGTCTGTGAGAAAGTCTGATTTGTATTTATCCCGAAAGCATTACTCACAGAAGCCAAACCCTACAAAGATTAACATTTTTTATTAAAATGTTATGGAATAAACCATACTGGTACAGAATATAGGTATGGTCATTTAGTCCAGTTCTGCAGAATCTGCTCCTCAATGTAATTTTTTGTGAAATAGCTGCAGTGATTTGTAAACCCCTGTTCATTTTAATATACACTGAGCAAAACTGTTACTTCATTTTATATTATTTACTTTTTACAGTTTCTTATGCTGCCCACTTTTTTTCCTTATGTCTGGCATTTACTTTTCAGTAAAGTTGTGTCTGTTTGCATTTCTTCCTGTATTAGAGGGTGTTGTCAGTACTGAGGATTATTATTAGGAATTGCATGTATTTCAATTAATTTGTTATTTGTGAGCTAGATTGTGTGCTCTTTAGGACAGGATTTTTTGGTACTTTGGTGTGAACATGAAAGCCTAATTTTGTCACAGTTACTAAGTAACTGTTACCACCATAGACTATAATAATAATAATAATAATAATAACAACAGCAACAACAATAATAATAACAGTGAAACCCAAACCAATAATAATAATAATAATAATGTAATAGGAAATAAATAGAAAGACATAGGTTCAGATTCTAAGTGGGTATCAATTGGCTGATCTCCACCAGCTAAGATTCTGACCTGCAGCATTTTAAGAGCTAAGATTTGTCCATGGATATCCATTTGCTGGGTCTGCAGCACCTTACCTGAGTATATACTAACAGAGTGAACACCTGTTCAAAATACTTCTGATGCACTGTAATAATAATGCTATAAAGCTTATTTTTTTGTCATGACAGAAATATATTTTATATTGAATTGTTTTATGCATTTAACAAATAAACTTTTAATGTATTAAAGCAGTAAAGCGAATTTCTTCAGGGAAAGCACACCAGATAGGACCTTTTTCTTTCTTTCTCAACTCCATTCTCCTGTTTGTAATGTGGCTCATTACATTATCTCTGTCATGTACGCTGCTTCAAGTTAAGAATTTGGGCTTGTGCCATGTAAAGCTCTTAGTACATAATTTGAGTGAAAAATATCTGCATGAAAATAATGAACACAATAAGGTCAATGTATGTAAATACAAAATGTGTATTTAATTTGAAAATAAATTTATGTATAAGTCTCTTGAGAAGTTGTACAACACCATACCTGCAAGTTACATCAAATCTGTATACATACACTGTGTTGATGTAAGGGCTGCAAACGTTTTGTTCAATGAAGTATATTGTAAGAGCAGCTCACATATAGGTCTGCACGCTGAAAGCATGTAGATGTGCTTTCTAGCATACACATGCTAGAAAGCATGTGTATGATGTGCTGGATTTATCAGTTTTCATTCTTTCAAATTTACGCAGCAGAAAATTCTTCCAAGCATATAAAATATAAAAATCTGCAAAGGATGAAAACATTTGGTCTTATCTGAATTTTTATGTTGTGAAAGTGAAGCTCAAAAGGATACTGTTGATTCTGAAACTGTGTCAGGGTTCAGGAGTTCAGTGTATCCCAAGGGCAACAAGACAGTCTGGCAGACCTCTTAGCCTTTGAATTGCATATATTGGAAGTTAGAAACAACAAGGCACAACTTGGAGAGCCACACTGCAATGATAACCTGAGATTTTGAGCATCCCAGGGCTTTAGCACAACACCACTGATGCTCAAGGATGGTGTATTACACTTTGTCAGTATGTCATTATTCCCAGTAAAATCAAGGTCATGGATTATAAGGCTCATTCTGAAGAGCCTGCAGTTTGAAGGACAAGAAACCAGTGTGATTATCCTACTTCAGCATCTAGCTTTGCTGATGTGTACTAGGCTACCAGGTTAGGACTAGCATGTTGCAAGTGCATGCTCCAAAATATGGCTTTCTGCCTTCCTGAGTAAATAGTTTAGTCCTGAGTCATAAACAAAGCTGCTTTTCACAGGAGGAAAACAAATACACTCTAAGAGCTTTTTAGTCACTGGCATTCAGAGAATACCTCTTTTATGCTCATCACAATTGAGAAGCTACTTGCTCAGACAAGTAGTCCTCCAGCTTAAGTACATTTGGCAAACCAGGACCTACATATATATTGATTATAACAAACTGTGGTTTAAATCAGGATTTACAAGTACAAGAGTTTGGAATGAAGTTGAACCAGGAAGAAGGGAGTGGTGGAGGGAAGGTGTTCTTAGATTTGTTATTATTGCTCATTATTGTGCTCTAATTGGCAGTAAATTAAATTAATTTCCCCAAGTCAAGTGTATTTTGCCCACGAAGGTAATTGGTGTGTGAACTCCCTGTCTCAATCCATGAGCTTTTCATCATATTTTCTCGCTCTGTCATGTTGCGGAGGGGGAGTGAGAGAGCAGCTGGGTGGACACTTGGCAGATAGCCAAGGTCAGCCCACCACACCTTAGTGTATGGCAATTTATTTAATTGTGGATTTTATTTTTCTTTCTTCAGAACTATTGTATAGAATCTGCAAAAGCAATTAAAAAACACCATGCTTTTAGCATAATGAAATAATATAAGTATTTCTGTGCAGTACAATGTAGACATAGTTTTTAAAATACTGGACACAGCATGAACAAGATTTTTTTTCTTCTTTTTCTTGAACACGATGACACTGATTATTAGCTATGCTCTGAAGTACAAAAAATAATATTCCTAGGAAAAGGTGCAGCTCTAAATGTCATTATTTGAAGGGGTCTGCAATTTAATATGTAAATGGGTAGGTAGGGGAAGGCCTCACCAGTGGCTCTTTAATCTCAGTGGCTCTGTGGAGATGCCTTGGGCCACATGGTGGTGCCGGCCAACCAGCTGTGTAAACATCCCCGTCTCAGCGTGGATTTGTTACTTACTCAGACAGAGCAGGACAAGTACTACAGAGTTAAACTAAACTGTATAATCTACTTCTGCTCTCTTGTGTCACATTATCTCCACAAATCTTAGTTGCTTTAACTCGATGACACCTCCTTTCTCCTATCCTCTAAATAGCACTACAATTAGAAAGTTGCAGAGTGGCTGTGAGGTGTTCCATGTATTACATCAGAGGGAAATGCCTTAATAAATTAATTTGATCGTTTAAAAATATCCTACAGCCTTATTTAAACTTATATGTGAATTTCCTGTTAGTAGAAGATGAGCATTAGGTTTGATTAGACCTGTAGTTTAATGACTATCTGTGTTAGCAAAGAGGTATGAAATACATACTGACTTTCCACTTTGATCCAATGACAATTGTGCTAGTTTGTGTTCTGCAACTGAAGTTTTGGAGACATTGATGAGGGCTGCTACAAGTTTGTGATAGAGGCATGACATGGCAATGAACAAGATATATGAACTTACAAAGAAGAAAATAAGAGTTTAAGTATTAAAGAAACCCCAATTCATTATCTTGTGATCAAATCTACATTAGATCAGACTAGTTCTCGTCTGCTGAATTGGACTGTGATACCGAAAAGCCGGTCAAGGAAAAACTCTCTAAGACTCAGAATCAGAGCTTTAGAAAGCAGGCATTCTTTACTGCAGTGCTGGGTGCACGGGGGATCGCTCCTCCACAAGCGTGCACACCAAGCCCCTCAGATTTACCACTTAAATGCGGGTACCTTATACATATTCATAGGATTGCACAACACAAACATACACATTAACTATTAAGGCGTGGTTAGTCCAAAACACTTTATCAGCAGTTTTAAAATAATCATGTCACTCATGTGCCTGCGCATTGCCTCCAGGTGATGGTCTTCAGGGGTCTTCAGGAGGAAGGCCAGTAGTCTTCGTCATCACCTTTTCCTCAATTTTGACATCACCAGCCCCTAAAAGCCGGACCCCTCTGACTAAATCCTTCATCACCCACCTTATCTGAAGTGGGATGTCTGTTATCTTCTGTTGCCAGGGGCTGGGCCTAATCCTTTGGGTCATACAATGCACATTATCTTCTGTCACCATGGTTCCACATCTTCTGTCCTTAGGGCCTTTATCTATTTATGTTTATGCGAGTTTCTTTGTTCCTACAGCTCAGAAACTCCTTAGCTTAAACAGACAACTCTTAGGCCTACTACAACCATCTTACTAGTTATGTGCTAAATTTCTTAACATTTCATATATCAACTGAACTCAAACTGGTGGTCAGCAGGTCAGGATTAGATGAAGGACTCCATAAAGCTCATTAGCGATGGCTTGAAACACGTAGTCCCATCCAGTTTCTTGGAGGTTTAGTGTGACATAACTTTGCCAGTTTGGAACCTGTTTAATCAACTATGTGAAGCAATGCTACAGCGTTGTATTAACTGCAAAACAGAAAATGTCAGACATGAGAATTTCTGTAGCTGTCTGACCAGCTGCCTGAAGCCTCCAGCTGTAACTCTAACTTATTATCTTTGTTAGAAAGTAACTTCACTGAGAGTGAAGTTATAGTATGGTAATGGCAGGAGAGAGTCCACAGAAACCTGCAGGAGGGCGTAACTCTGTGTCCACAGCATGAGAAATTTTAGACTGTTGTTTGACCTGATCCGAGTTAAATATAGTGATAAGAGATATCTTGAGGCAGCAGCCTGCTGGGAGAATGTGAGGACAGGAGCCAGCAGTGTGCCCAGGGGGCCAAGAAGGCCAATGGCATCCTGGCTTGTGTCAGCACTGGCGTGGCCAGCAGGGACAGGGAAGGGATCTGAGCCCTGGGCTCGGCACTGGTGAGGCCGCCCCTCGATTCCTGTGTTCAGTTTTGGGCCCCTCACTACAAAAAGGACATTGAATGACTCGAGTGTGTCCAGAGAAGGGCAATGGAGCTGGTGCAGGTCTGGAGCACAGGTCGTACGGGGAGAGGCTGAGGAAACTGGGGGATTTAGTCTGGAGGAGGCTCAGGGAGACCTTATAGCCTGAAAAAGCTGTAGTGAGGTGAGTGTTGGTCTCTTCTACCAAGTAACAAGTAATAGGATGAGAGGGAACAGCCTCAAGTGGTGCCAGGGGAGGTTTAGTTCGGGTATTAGGAAAAATTTCTTCACTGAAAGAGTTGTCAAGCACAGGCTGCCCAGGGAAGTGGTGGAGTCACCATCTGTGGAGGCATTTAAAAGACGTGTAGATGTGGTGCTTAGGGACATGGTTTAGTGGTGGGCTTGGCAGTGTCAGGTTTATGGTTGGACTCGATCATCTTAAAGGTCTTTCCCAACCTAAACAATTCTGTGATTCTATGTTAATCACAGCAACAGGTGGCTTGCACAGAAAATAGAAAATGTGCTTTCTGCCCAAAATTCATTAGGCAAACTAGTTAATGAATATGCAGGAGGACAAAAGTATTGTATAAGGATAGACAAAAGATATATGCCTGAGGAAGAGTCATTTCATATAGCATTGCTCGGCCAAAGAAAGGGGTCAGGAGCAGCCCGAGTAGCAGAAATCTTCCTTGTGGATTATACTGAAAGGGCTCAAACCCATGAATGTCTGATTAAGACTAACCTGTGATGCATGAAATTTTTGCTTTTGTTTGTTTCCCAAGGACTCCTCAACTGTTCTCCCTAGGCCTCTGTGTCTGTCTATACAAAAGTTAATCGCTTCCTCTATAACTCCTTCAACGGGCACTTGGGCAAACTGAGGTAAGGGGGAACTTGAACAAAAGGGCACAGAGGTACAATCTAGGGAGGGTGATCTCGCCGATTTAGGAAGAAGACACCTGGGCTTTACCTCACAGCCATGCTTTGGAAAGGGCTGACACCGTGAAGAAGACCACGTTCTTCTTCCCTCGACCACCGAAAACCCTCACTCTATTTTTACTACGGATGGTCGGACGATGTAAATGAATTCTGGGAATTTATTATCGTAAGACACCCCTTTCCAGGAAATCTAATGAATATGTATGATATCTGTGTATCTAAACTGATGTCCCTTGCTAGTTCGGGGGAGCTCTTATGATGGAGAATCCCCGCGCTGCTAAGAAGGAATATCTGCTCGACGGTTCTGTTGGATTCTGACTGCTGAGCGAACTCCTTCGCTTCACGACGAGCGCCATTTTGCTTCTCGGGCAGCCTCGCCAGCGCTGCGGGCTGCTCCGGCATAAAGGCACGTCAAAGCGGGTACAGAGAAAGCACCGACCCTGCCGGGCGGCGGGCGGCGGGGCCGGGGGAGGCCCGGGGGGGCCCGGGGGGGCCCGGGGG